AGATTATAAACAGTTTACTGGATAATAAAAGCAGGTGGATGGGGCCATTTTTTAAATAAATTTATTATCATTTCAAGGCTTTTACACACCTAGACTAACTGAAACCTTTTGTAGTTTGATTTGAATTCAGATCTTACCAGGTCCTCTGGTTGGGAGCAGTGGTCGGGTCCTTCACTCTGTGAGCAGAAGCATAACGTCGTTAAAACAATGAAAACTGGGGATGGACGGGGTAGGTACCAGATCTGCTCGGAGCCCTGCACCTTCTTATGACGTCATCATAAGACTCGGACAAACTGTATTTCACCCGTTTCTTAAGAATCAGATCTCGTTTGGAGTCTAAATATATGATATTATATTTAGTATTATCTATATTTGCTATTGCTGGTGAAGGTTCTCAGTCATCCAGGTCATAGTCAGTCCAAAAAAGTTCAAAAACAATCCACTGGACTTTGTTTCCAAGTTTGAAGATGTTTTGCTTCTGTAAGGTCTAAGCACCTAAAACATCATGCATACAGGAAGAAGGCACAGAGAGAGAATTAATTTAGTTTTACTCGTGAGGAGAGTAGGAAGAGACTGTGGAGTTTTCAAATCACCACCCCACTCTGTCGGTCTTCAGCTTTCTCCTCACTATTTATTAAAGTTAGAGGGGGGGTCCCTAGTTACACAAGCTGAGGTTGCGCTAAAGGCATAGGAAACAAGGAATACAATTCAATTTGCAGCCTCAGTGAACAGGTCAATTTGCATTTAAATATCTTGTGGTCAAATGATCCGAGGACCTCCTGGTTTCGTTAAGCTTGAGCAATACTTCCTGAGAGTTGACCTATACTGCTTGTGCAAAACCTCTCTGGAACAGTAATATGTCACACATTATACATCATAAGAACAAACTTTTAGTATACATAATTATTCCAACAGCTTCCCATCCAGGAAGCTTTTGAAAGAAGTTTTGAATTAAAAAGCGTCTTTAAACTTGTAAACAAAGTCTAGTGAATTTTTTTTGGGAATATATTTGCTATTATTGTTCATTTAATTGGCGATCTAAAGAAGCCAAAAATAGAAAATATTAATTGTCAATCTTGAAGGGAAAGTACTGCTTTCTAAGCCTGAGCTTTGCCATTTACCAAGGTGACAAAAATGCTTATTGGGAACATATGGGACATCTAAGAAATGACTTTCATAGAGAATTTAGACAAATAAAACCCTTATTCTACTTAGACTTAGATTTATTTTGTCATGTTGTACAAGCTGCCGCGATAAAAACACTGTGATATTAAGTCACTATATGTAGTATTTCTACTTGTAGAAAATGAACGGTTTTTGTTGAGATGAATTTAAAAGTAGTGTAGCTTAATAGGGCTAAGTGATCGAGCTAAAGGAGGCTAACCCTTTAGCTACTGAGGACAGCTAGCTACAGCGCTACCTAGCTCTACCCCTTTATATCTCGGTCTAACAGTTACTTTGTTCACAATAAAAAGTTTTTTTTTTTAGTTTTGTTATCAAAATGTAAAACTTCATCGACCATTAGAAACGCTAACGCTACGCCGCGTGATGTTATTATCGTTGTCTGGGCAACCACAATGTTTTACATCATGCGCGACGTTCAGCCAATCATGTAGCGTGACGTCACTGGCAGGAAGCAGATCTGGTACTTACTGTCACTACCCGATCCGCCCCGGAACCACAATCCGTATCATCAGCTCATGTGCGCTCCATAATACATCCGGGTCGCCCTCGATTTTTCCGTCTCTAAAAATAGTAAGTTTGCTAAAATATAACGTGTTAAAGGTTAATAATGTATTGCCTGAGAAATACTCATAGTAGCTTCATCTGGTCTGTTCCTGTTTGGCTGTGACTCCATCCTGGAGAGAAATATCAGCTGTGCTGCTGCCATCAACACCTTTGTTTCTAGATGTTGGAGCTTGGCCTGTTTTCCAGTGTAGTCCTGTTTCTCTGACTAACTGGATGTGCTCTCTTCATCCTCTGACATGGGAGCTGGCTCGGAGCTCGTCTGCCTGGCTGTGTGTTTCCTGGACGGGGCCGCCTGTGGAGCTGGTTGACAGTTGCCTTTTGTATCTATGCTTCTTTTTCTATGTCTGCTTCTGTCTCCTTGAACCCCAGTGGGCCTCAGCAGATGGCCGCTCACACTGAGCCTGGTTCTGCTGGAGGTTTCTTCCTGTTCAAAGGGAGTTTTTCCTCTCCACTGTCGCTACAAGCATGCTTAGTGTGAGGGATTGCTGAAGAGTCAATGAGTCGATGCAATCAGCTGGTTTTTCTTAGATAGAAAACTTTGAATCAATCTGACTGGATGATCTGGTGAACTGGAAAGTGCCTTCAGATGACATGATGTGAATTTGCGTTATAGAAATGAACTGTTCCCGATCTGCACCGGAAATGGGATCCTACGCTACTTCTGGGAGCTAACTTTTTCGGCTTTGTATTCAAACATAAAACTAGTTTTAGTTTTAATGTTTTCCTTTCGTGTTCACCTTATGGTATAATCTAAAGAAACAACTAAAATGCAAATAAACATGGTTTAATCATATTTTGCACGACTGCTCTGATCATATCCGATGATGACATCAGAGAAGCAGTTTTACGAAGAAAATGTAAAAAGCATCAAAATTGTCTCAAAAAAGTCATAAAACGTATTTTAAAGATGTGTATTAGCATTCTTTAGTGAGTTTTGGATAGAAATAAGTGATTTTAGGATCATAAATACATTATTTACGGACAACTGGATGTATATCTGTGCATGGGCAGGACGGATCGCGCTTCTGGGACGGATCGGGCAGTGATACTACAATGGCAGATCTTCCAGGATTCTTTTTTACCTTGATGTTGTTGACCTTCATGCCACAGCGGTATGTTGCTGCCAGAGAGGCGGTGAGCTGGATCTCTTTGGTCAGCTGGCGCCACTTGCCGCAGTCTGGCTTGGTGCACTGAACCTGAAGCGAACACATCAACGTTACCGACGGAAAGGGAAACTCATCTTAGAAGGGTTTGGATGAGAAAACCTTCTCTCACCCAAAATGGAAGCTGCTGGTCGGCCATGAACGCTTTAAGACTGGGCTCGCTTTTCCCGTTACTGGTCCACACCTTCTTCCAGGAGGCGAAGGTCTCATAACCGTCCTTGTGACTGCACAGAAAGACGCAAACCGTTTTCGCATCCTTCAGACGAGCCTCTCACTGAAAGTCATCTGGCTTTACCTTCTATAGTAGTGATCAAAGCACTCGTTGCAAAAATGTTCACCACACGACAGGTGATACCAGCGAGACGTGTAGCCGTTTTTTGCACACCTAAGAGGGAAGATGAGCTGCTGTTATCGACGGTTAATGTGATTAAAACCTGCTTTTACTTTGGCGCTTCTACCTGTCTGACGCACTCGCAAAACACACAGGGTACATGGCCGAGCATCCGGCCTTCTCACACTTCCTGTACTTCTTCTCAGCCTGCTCGTCTTCCTCCTCGGCTTCTGTCGCTTTCCTTTTGCTCTGGGATGAAGGGCAGAGATTCAAAGACAACAAAGATTTATGATGATGATGGTTAAAGCAGGAGTTTACCTTTCTGACAAGAATCAGTAGCAATGAGTCTTATTAGCTGTTTTAAAAATACGACGGAGTATCAGGGGTAGGCGAGTGATTTGTTTGGATTATTATAATTTATTTTGAGAATAAAGTCCTAACATTACGAGAATAAAGTTTTTATATTATGAGAACAAATTCTTCATAGAACAACCGGTTTCAGAAAGAAAGCTTCTACCTCCGCCCAGCATATGACGGCCGACCAGCTCCACCAATCAGTACCCAGAGTCCACTTTGACATCCTGCCCAGTTTGATGCTGCTGCTAAAAGATTTCCTGATTTGTCAAACCGACGCTAATGTAGAACTTCACATGATGCTCCACATTCCTCATTTTAGGGAAGAACGGGCTTCTTGGAAGAGTTGTCATAAAATACATCTTTATTCTCATAATGTTATGACTTTACTCTTGTAATTTGATTACTTTTCTTGTTGCGACTTTATTCTCGCAACTCACAAAACACAATTTGTGTACTTATACTTAAGAATTTGAAGAAGTGTAACTTTTTTTTTTTCTGGATAAAAAACAATCTACAGTTACAAAACACCAAAGTTAGAATGCACAAATAGTTTTGCAACAATAGTTCTGGACCATTTGGACCAAAACTGAGAATGTAAGAGGTTTTTGATGAGCAACTTGTAGAACAGAATTTGTGAACTTGTACTTAAAATGTAAACAGGTGTAAAAATAATTTGTACTTATGATTTGTTTTTTTGTTTTTTTTTATCTCTACAAATACAAAACTTAGGATGTAATTCTCTCTAAAACTTCAAATTCACACTTACAATGCACAGTTTTATAAAAAATTGCCTCTGTAGATATTAAGGCAAAAAAAAAACATGTTTTTTTTGAAGATTTTAATACAGATGTTTTAGTTTGTTTTGCACCATTTATTTTAGTTCAACTGTAGTAAAACTGAATGGAAGACATTTTTGATGTGCAACTCATAGAACACAATTTGTGTACCTGTACTTAAGAATTTGAAGAGGTGCACTGGAAAAACGATCTAGAAATAAGTAAAAAGTCTTAATCTAAGTGTATTTACCCTTAATTTGAGTAGGTAAATGAGATAGTTTGCCAATGGAATCAGCATTTTTACTCTTAAAATAAGATAATTAGATAATATACACTTAAAATAAAAAAAAATGCAATTGTGTTTTTTTATTTTAAGTGTAAATTGTCTTGTACCGTTGGCAAAATGTCTCTTTTACCTCCTCAATCCAAGAAAAAATGCACTTAGTTTAAGAAAAAATGACTTATCTAGATGTTGATTATTTCCAGTGTGTAACTTTTTTTGTAATTGTGACAACAACAAAAAAAATCTACAATTACAAAACACCAAAGTTAGAATGCACAAATAGTTTTGAAACAGAATAACCTCCATAGATTTTGAATCTGCATAATTGTGGCTCTCACCGGTCCAGGCGGGGGGTTGCTGCTGCGCTTCACCCGGGCCGTGCTCTGCCTCCCGGAGGAGCGAACGGACGCCCCGTCCCCAGGAGACTCCCCGGAGCTCCGCTTCCTGGCTCTGCGGGCACCGGAGCAGCTCCCGGAGTAATCTGCAGCCACAATAACACACAGCGTCAGGTGGAAACAATGGAGCTGCGCAGAAAAACAACCTCTGTTTGTTTGTCGATTAACGGATTTAAAGGCAAATGTTTGGTGAACAGATTATAACCGATCAGAGGTGCGATCAGGTTATTAACAGAGAATAAACGGTGGGATTTGGACATTATTTCAACGCTTTAAAGGACCCAAACAGCAGCTTATCGCTTTAGCATGTAGCAGTTAGCAGCTGGGATACCGACCTGCGTCCGACAGCATGTTGTCCGGATGAACAGGCGTTAAACCGAAGCTGTGGGCCGGCTGTTTGTTTGTGAGGAGGTTTAATAAATCAGTTCAACTGTCTTTGGTTGTTGTGAAAATAAAATAAAACAGCTGATACATGAAAACAGCTTCCTGTTTGACACAGGAAGTGGATGGTGTTGCTTCGGACTGGTATTAATGCTACATTCAAAGAACCTCGGAAATAAAGATGGCAAAAATTAAAATAAGGAAAAACTAAAGCCGATTTAACAGCATTAGCTGTATCAGTCATTACCTAAACATTACCAAAAAAATTTTTTTTCATTCCAGCGTTTTGTTACACATTTACGACCAGTTTACTGACAAGAATGTATTTTAAATATATGTTAACTATCTGAGTTGAATTCATTACTTCTTTATTTTATAATTATGAAAACCATATGGGATTTTGAGGTTGGGATCATTTAAGAAGCTCTGAATTTCTTCTCGAAATTTCTTACTCATAAAGATCCTTGCTAGACATTTTTCAAAAGATGAAGCCAGAAATTTCGAGGGGTCATGAATGCATCATTCACGGGGTCATTTTAAGTCACGTTTTAACAAGGTAACCATAGCAACCGGCACGATAACCCAAGCGACTCGTTTTATTTACTGTCAGAAGAAGCCAGTTTTGACCGTAAAGTTTTATTTCTGTTTAGAAATAGAGTATTTTTCTCGCAAAAATCTGTTTCCATTCACATTTGAAACGTCGTGTCTGTTAGCTGTTCTTTTTATAAACGACATTTTTTTAAAACAAGGCGCGAGGACCGGATACTTTCCCGGATGGATTCAGGAAAACTCGTTCAAGATTTGAACCCGAAGTTTCCCGATATAAATCTGACTGCATCACGTAAAGTAGGCCTAAATAAATTCATCGCATTAATTATATTTTATAGGGAGATGAAAATACATTAACAAAAATATCTGATTAATTTTTTTTTCTTTTATAAAACATGTATTTAATTTACATTTATTGAATCTAATAAACAGTAAACGACCATAGCCACTAGGTAGGCTGTAAGACACTTTATTTTTATAAATCAATAAAGAATATTTATAATATATTTAATTGAACACTAAATTTTAAAGTATGGTTAACGAAATAAAAAACACAGAAATATAAGTATGAATCAGTTGACTTTTCATTCTCTGTCTTTTGTTAAAACAAAACAATTCAAAGTAAATATGGAGTCAGTAAGGGATTTACCATTTCGCAATACTTGGCAGTTGCCTAGGGCCCCAAGTTCCTGGGGGCCCCATAAAACTCTGCTTTCATGTATGGTTAATACAACTATTCCTTATTTGTGTACATTAATTATGTTTTGCCATCAGAACGCTTATAGTACACTGCAAAAACAATCTAGAAATAAGTGAAATGTCTTAAATTAAGTGTATTTACCCTTAATTTGAATAGATAAATGAGATAGTTTGCCAATAGAATTGGTATTTTTACTCTTAAAATAAGATAATTAGATAACATGCACTTGAAATAAGACAATGCAGTTTTGTTTCCTTATTTTAAGTGTAAATTGTCTTGTTCCATTGGCAAAATGTCTCTTTTAGCTCCTCAATCCAAGAACAAATGCACTTATTTTAAGGAAAAAATATTTATCTAGATTTTTTAATTTTTTCCAGTGTATGAAGTGTTTCCTAAATCCACCCCTGCATGAAGCATATATAATAAATTAAATAATGATAGTTAATTTTCTTTTACATATTTTTGGTATTTTTTCTTATGATCTATGTAGCTTATTTCACTACATTGTACTTTTCTATCTTTTTTTTTATGTAAAGCACTTTGAATTGTCATGTGCTACGCTAACACTTGCCTTGCCTAATGTTCTCTATCAGCAAGGTTCTGTAAAGGTTTTTAGTCGAGTATGTCCAATAAGCCCTATAGAGTAATAATGTTCAACTCCTGACATTTCTGCAGCCCAGTCCTAAAAAGTTTGACCTCATTAAGGTCATCCGTCTTCTTGAGGATCCACTGATGGTGGGTAAAACTGTCTTTTTTTCTCTTTTATATGTCAGGTTTGCTTCGATTAATTGTCTTTTTTTTTTCTTCTTCTAAAGGCGAACCTGAGGGAAAGGCACCTGTTCGTCCTGAAGAAACTGCTGAAGAGAAACCAGTCAGGCTTCGTATCCTTGTCATCAGATTTTCTTCGGATATAAAATTCTTGGATGTTTCTTCTTAAGTGTTTGAAATGAGCCTAAAGTTAATATTTTATTCGGATAGATGTTTTTTTTTTTTTTTTTTATAAACTTCACTTCGACTATTTCTAAAATCGAATGAAAAATATGCCTTTTCTGTACGTTAAAGCTTCTTAAAGTAAGTGAAGCTTTTGAAGGAGCTCACAGCTATATCCCAAATACTCAACATCTGTGCTGAGAAAGTGAGCGATCAGCCCCAATATGCATCAGTTCTGTGTGAAGCTCTAAAACTCTGCAGGTGAGAAATTTGTCGATTTAAAGCTTGAACAGTTTCTGCATCTGTAGCATTTCTCTCTGGCTTCTGCTCAGGTTTCCCTTCCTGAAGGAGAAGACGTCTGATGAGCTGAGGTACGCTCAAGACGCCAAAGAGTTCCTCTCCAACATTGGTACACACTGCACTGTCATCTTTATATTGTTTTTAACTAATAGTTATTTTACATATAAATCTGACATTCTTGCCGATTTAAGAAAACAACAAAAACAAGCAGTTTTCCTTCCATCCCAGCTTTGCCTCAATGTTTGCTTCTAAGGCTCTACCTCATCTTCAGCCCCATTCAAGGCCATATTTTACCATCAATGTTTCATTAAATCACTGTCTTTAAATGAGCCAGATGATCGATGTTATTTAATGGTTACCAATAGCAACCACAGCCAAGCGGGAGGAGAAAAAAAAGTAGTTTAATCAAGGTCAATGAAGTGGAAAATTAGATATAGTTGGTTGAAACGGTGAATAAAAGGAAGGATTATTAGTTACACTTTGAGTCCGATGGGCTGATCGGATGAACAAGGACGTCCAGGCAGCATGGAGCGGATCAGATCAGACCAAGAATGCTTGTAGTGACAGTGGAGAGGAAAACCTCCTTTTAGCAGGAAGAAATCTCCAGCAGAACCAGGGTCAGTGTGAGCGATCATCAAGATCAAATCCATCCATCGGATGGATGGATGGATGGATAGTTGACCAATGGATGACAGATGATGGATGGATGGATGACAGATGGATGACGGATGGATGACAGATGGGTAATGGATGGATGGATGATGGATAGTTGACCAATGGATGGATAATGGATGGATGACAGATGCATTACAAATGGTTGATGGATGGATGATGGATGGATAGATGATGACAGATGGCTGGATGGATGATGGATGGATGGATGACGGATGGATGATGGATGAATGACAGATGGATGATGGATAGTTGACCAATGGATGGATGATGGATGGATGACGGATGGATGGATGATGGATGGATGGGTTTGATGCTTGAAGGAGTCGACCTCACAGGTTTATCCTCAATACAGTTTATTTATGTAGCTGAATTCATAACACATATCATCTCAAGGCTCTTTACACAGAAACAGCTTAACCAGATGAAAAGTTTCAAAGTTTTCTAAGGAAAACCAGCTGATTGCATCGACTCATTGATTCTTCAGCAATCCCCCACACTAAGCATGCTTGTAGCGACAGTGGAGAGGAAAAACTCCCTTTGAACAGGAAGAAACCTCCAGCAGAACCAGGCTCAGTGTGAGCGGCCATCTGCTGAGGCCCACTGGGGTTCAAGGAGACAGAAGATTGAATAAAATCCACTAGTTCTGCCGAGCTTGGCGGTCAGATTTAGGCTAGAAGCTGCGTCATGTCAGCATAGAGCGTCACTGAACCAATAATCCGTTCGCCAACGTCTCCCTGGTCTGGTAGATGAAGATGAGGAGCAGATGTGTTTCTGTTTTCAGGTCTTCTGATGAGGGTCCCACACGCTGAAGTTCAGGAGCAGGTCTTGGAAGCTGTGAGGTCGTTTTTCAGCTCTAACGCTCCAGCGGATCTGCCTGAAGGTACCATCATGACATCTCCTTGATCTCCTCTCACTGCTTTCTGCTGGGATTCCTTCTGATCCGGGATCATTTCCTGTTGGCCAGCCAACAATCAGAAGAACCATAAATAATCTGCTTCTGTTCCTCAACCTTCAGTGTCATTTAGAGAACAATCATAAAACCAACAAATCTTTCCCTTAAAAATGTTTTACTCTAGATGAAAAAATCTGCTCAACTTTAACTTTTTCTTTTAAAAATTGATCCATATTTTTGCTAATTATTTTACTAAATGGAATTCTCTATTACTTTATTGTTATTATTTACAGCAGAGCAGGAATCTTTTTGCAGATTAAAGAAATAAAAATTTTCATTTTTTTTTCAGAAAATATATATTTTTTCCTTATTTTAGATGTTTGATGTTCTCATTCCATTGTTTTCTATTGGTCAGGTTTTACTTTTAAACGTACAATTTGAGATCTTGTGCCGATAACAGTAGAAAATCCCAATTTTCATGCAGGGTCAGTTTAAACTTTCAAAAAGTCCGGTCAGCAACTAATAATCAATGGACCATCATCCAAACCTAAACTAATGCGTTCTCGTGATTTAATGAATTTAGAGTTAATCAATAAAAGAATAAGAATAATATTTTTCCTCGCGATCACTGAGTCTGGGAGCGGCCATTTTTGCCCAAATATAGTAACCCCTCCCTCCTGCCATCTTCCAGCAGTGACGTCACGGTGCGGTAAGCCTAGCGCCATTCTCCCCGCTTTACAAGCTAAATCAATGGGAACTACTAGACACATCTGCAATCAACAACAATTATTGAAGATTTCCAGAGGACTTCACAATTGAAATTCACCAGAGCTATAGTGAAACTGACAATGCCCACGTGCATGGCAGCTGGATGTTGGAATACATCGGGTAAAAGTGGGAAAAAAAGAGTTATTCCACCTTTCTGATTCCTGATCCTCCACGGACGGGTTGGTCGTTGGATCGCCAACTTGAAGAGGGAGGATTTGCCATCGAACTTCTGGCCAGAGAAAAAACCCGTAATATGTAGCCAACATTTGGAAGAAGAATGTTTTCAAGATGACTTGGATAATAGCGCGTTGTGACAAACACCAGATACAGCACTGGGACTTGATCAACAGCCGATACCGCACCGTGACGTCACTAACCAGTAGGTGGCAGTAGTGTTCTTTGACAAACATGGATGCCTCCAGTAAAGCACATTCACATGAAAATTACTCTGAATTAAAAACACTGATCATTTATTGAACAGGATGGAATCATTTCAGATTTAAGGAACTTTCAGAAGTTTGATTCCTGAATATGAGCGGACTTTTCTTTTAAAGACTAAACCGTGACATAATTGTTTGAAAGGTAAAAGTTTTCATTGAACATTCTGTCAAAATTTCATAATTTTTTTTTTTATGAAATAAGATAAGTTAGTATCAGTGGTTATATTGTGGAAATTTCCCTACAATTTATTATAAATTTTCTAATGTCTGATTGTATAAATCAGCTTTTTCAATAAAAAAAATAAATAAATAAAAAAAAAACATGACGATCATACGGAAAAGATAGGTCTAGAAATCCTCGTGTATCAAATAGGCTCCACTTTTTTTGTCATTTTCTCCACAGAGCTCCAGCCGACCTCGGCCATTTACCGGCTGCAGCTGCTGGAGCGCAGCAACCTCCCCAAGACGCTGCTTCTCTCCACAGCCGCCCTGCAGAACCGGCCCTCCATCAAGCTGCGGCTCCTGCAAACTCTTCAGCTCCTCTCCAGCTCCTCAGGTGAGGAACACATTTGACTCCGAGGAGAAATAAATCACTTAATCGTCTGCAAACAACCAAATGCTCTCAGTATCAGCCAGTTGTTTGTTTTTTTTAATCGATCCCGCCGTTTGTTCAATGTTTTACAGACACCACCTGCACTAGCATCTTAGGTGAAGGAGGAGCCGAGATGATCTGTCTGCACATGAACGAAGAGGACCGGTCCGGTCAGGTTCTTATCTGCTCCTCAGAGATCCTCTGGAACCTGCTGGAGAGCGGTGGCAGAAAGGAGGCCGTGACTCAGCTCAGCAGCTTGGAATGCGTGCTGTAGGTGTTGGAATCCGTTTAAACACCCAAACACTTCTGTAATAACCTGGAGAAGAAGGACCTCTGCTGTCTTCCCCGCTCTTTATTGGAAACAGGGAGTCTCTATTACAATAGATCACACTGGAACTCTAAAAGACTGTGTGGGGAGGAAGTTGCAGCATGATATAGTGATGCACCTACATTTCTTCATGCAGACAGCAACCTTGAGTTATACACATGAAAGACATTCAGTTCCTGGTACCTGCAAAGGAACACTTTCACAAGAGTCTACTAAAGATTATAGAAAGAATAAACAAGGTTATTACTATCACGGTTGGGTTGAGGTTTTGAGGACCCAAATGCAGAGGTGAGGAGGCAAAGGTGAGTCTTGGAGATTTAATGATATAACTGAAGAAAAAAATGTAGAAACCGAAGTACAAGGAACCGAAAAACAGACTACTTCAGGGGGAAACTCCCGTGGGGAGCCAGGAACTGCTCAGGGAGAGTATATAAAGGAGACAGAACAAAGACTGGACTAATGAGCTGATTGGGAGCAGGTGTTAACAGAGGAGTCTAGAAAGGAGCTAGGGAAAAGGAGACCAACACAGGAGGGCAACAGAGGGCAGTCAGGAAATACCTAAGAACTCAAATACATCCAGAAAACACCACAAAATAGGAATTAAAAATAGAAAACCAAGAAAAATGTGGATCAACATGAAACTGAAAACTCAAACAGAACCAAAACCGTGACTAATACAGGATAAGATGAAATAAATTAGCTCCAACTGAATTGCTGGTTTTCAGATGTCTGCAGCAGAGCGTCCTGTGAAAGCGTCTCACTGTCATCCTGTTTGTCAGATCTCTGAAGGAAGCGTTGTCATCAGCGATGGAGATCCCATCCCAAGCTTTTCACCTCCAGCTCAGGAATCACCTGCTGGCGATCGCAACTCTCATCGCTGGAAATCCAAACTGTCCGCTCGTCGTAAGTCCGACTCCTTTGAATAACAATCAGGTTCTGGGGGGCAGATTCTTATGAAGAAGGATTAGAGCCACTGAAAAAATGGAAAAAAAGTTAACTGATTTTTAAATATTATTTCAGTTTAATATAGGAAGAAAGTCAGAATTCTGACTTTAATCTCAGAATTCTGACTTTTTTCTCAGAGTTCGGACTTTAATCTCCGAATTCTGACTTTAATCTCTGAATTCTGACTTTAATCTCAGAATTCTGACTTTTTTCTCAGAGTTCGGACTTTAATCTCCGAATTCTGACTTTAATCTCCGAATTCTGACTTTAATCTCAGAGTTCTGACTTCAATCTCCGAATTCTAACTTTAATCTCCGAATTCTGACTTTAATCTCTGAATTCTGACTTTAATCTCAGAATTCTGACTTTAATCTCCGAATTCTGACTTTAATCTCCGAATTCTAACTTTAATCTCAGAATTCTGACTCTAATCTCAGAATTCTAACTTTAATCTCCGAATTCTGACTTTAATCTCCGAATTCTGACTTTAATCTCAAAGTTCTTACTTTAATCTCAGAATTCTGACTTTAATCTCAGAATTCTGACTTTAGTGTCAAAGTTCTGGCTTTAATCTCAGAATTCTGACTTTAATCTCAGAGTTCTGACTTTAGTCTCAAAGTTCTGACTTTAATCTCGAGTTCTGACTTTAATCTCGAGTTCTGACTTTAATCTCAGAGTTCTGACTTTAATCTCAGAATTCTGACTTTAATCTCGAGTTCTGACTTTAATCTCAGAGTTCTGACTTTAATCTAAGAAATCTGACTTTAATCTCAGAGTTCTGACTTTAATCTCAGAATTCTGACTTTAATCTCAGAGTTCTGACTTTAATCTCAGAGGTCTGACTTTAATCTCAGAGTTCTGACTTTAATCTCAGAATTCTGACTTTAATCTAAGAGTTCTGACTTTAATCTCAGAATTCTGACTTTAATCTCAGAATTCTGACTTTAATCTCAGAGTTCTGACTTTAATCTCAGAGGTCTGACTTTAATCTCAGAGTTCTGACTTTAATCTCAGAATTCTGACTTTAATCTAAGAGTTCTGACTTTAATCTCAGAATTCTGACTTTAATCTCAGAATTCTGACTTTAATCTCAGAGGTCTGACTTTAATCTCAGAGTTCTGACTTTAATCTCAGTATTCTAACTTTAATCTCAGAGTTCTGACTTTAATCTCAGAGGTCTGACTTTAATCTCAGAGGTCTGACTTTAATCTCAGAGTTCTGACTTTAATCTCAGTATTCTAACTTTAATCTCAGAGTTCTGACTTTAATCTCAGAATTCTGACTTTAGTCTCAGAATTCTCACTGCTGTAGCCGTAGCCATGTCTGTTTTAGAGACTAGCTCTCTTGGTTTAATCACCTTCTGCTCTTCCATTAATCAAATAGCATCACCAGGGACCCCTAATGCACGTAAAAAGTTGCTTAATTATGTAATTTTCAACCAATGTGTTCCTGTTCCTCCCAAACAACTCACATCTTTTTCAGTTAGGCACAGTGCTCCACATCTCTTCCTTCATAGTGCCCAGCAACATCCAACAATCTGAGATTAAAGTGAGAATTCTGAGATTAAAGTTAGAATTCTGACTTTTTTGCCATATTAAACTGAAATAATATTTTAAAATAAGTTAACGTTTTAATTTTTTTTATGTGGTCCTAATCCTCTTCCGTAGATTCTTCACAGTTCTTCTCAAAATATCTTTCTACTTCCAGGAAAGCTTATTTGCCAAACAGCTGCTGGGCTTCATGACAATTCCGGAGCGTGAGACTCTTTTTTTTTTTTTTCACTGATTCCAGTTAGATTTTAAAATGTGTAACTGAGCTTTTGAGAAGGAAAGAATCTGTCTGTTTTAAGTGAGCAGCTCTGCAGCAGAGAAACCTGACCTGAGGATGATGAAGCTGCTGTTGAATCTGCTGGTTGTGATGGGCAGGAACGTCACTGTACTGCAGGTCAGCTTCACTCCCAGTTACAGTCTACAGTCTTCGTTTGTTCAGAGGAGTGACTTTGAACTCCCTCCTCAGGTTTTCAGGGAGGAGTATGTCATGGTGAACCTGCTGCAGCTCGTGAAGCCACCGGAGCGCCGGCCAGCTTCTCAGATCTTCTTCGGCTTCCAGGAGGAAGAACTCCAGCTGCAGGCATTGGACGCCTTGTCCTGCATCGCTCCAGTCATGCTGCAGGACTACATGTCCTGTCAGGGAAATACGCGCCTGCTGTTGCTGCTGGACTGGTGCGTCGAAGGTCAGCTGAAAACTTCTGAGACTTCTTCCACCTTCCTGCATGCAAGCGTCTTTTCCTCCAAGTTCGTGTCTGTGGATTTTAGCTCAGATTAGATATCTTCTTGTTTTTCTGTCCTCTTGAATCCAGAGCCTGAACTCTGTGGCAGCAGGATGACCCAGACGCAGCGCTGCATCAGAATCCTGCGATCTGTGACGGCTCTGGGAGAGGAAGCTGTAAAGCAGGACCTCTGCGATCAGGGAGCCATCAACCAGCTGCTGGGTAACTTCTGCTTCACCTGTAAGGAAAACGTAGAGTGCAAACATGACTGCAGTCAGAGACCTGTGGCGTTTCCCCCTTCTCAGGGATCCTAAACTTGATCGAAGCGTTTTCTGGTGAGGATGATGTAATCGCCGTGGAAACCATGTCCAATATCCAGCTCATCCTGTCTGTGCTGTGTGAGAACGACCTGCACAGAAAGGTAAACACTTAGTTTGATCAAAAATATGGGGAAATATTCTTAAATGTCCCTCAGGAGAAAATAAATGAAAATACAAATAATGAACATTGGGGAAAAAAATAAAAACTGTTAACTAAAATGTTACTAATAATAAAAAAAGAATTAAGAAAAAAAGAATGAAACAAAAAAGAAATAATAAAAGACCCTAAAATTGTCACTCAATTATACAATCTAGAAGAATGCATCAAATATTAGACAGCCAATTTACAAAATAAAAATATAAGAAAAGACAAATAAATAACTGGAAAAAAAAAAAAAAAAAGTATTGAACATTGATTAAAAGAGCTTATGTGTCAAAATGATATAAAATGTGTTTAGTTCTGGAAATAAAAATATAAAATTTTACAAATGTAAGAGATTAAGACACTGTCTGTGTAAATATTATAATAAACGTGAATAATTATTAGAAATGTCCTGTTTTTATAATTTTTTTGGAAAAATTGTTTGACGACTAAAAGACTAAAGATCAGCTATTCAGAAACCTGCAAACGTCTAAACGCAGCAACCAGGACGACCCTCAGCAGGAATTTAGCTTTAAAGGCAAACTATGCAACATTTCTCAGTTAATGAATGTGTTCCATAACGTTTTGGATGTTTAAATGAGTCATTTCAGGTCGAACAAAGGTTTTCTCGGCCGCCCTGGTGGTCTGTAAGGGAAATACCGTACTTGCAATTGCAGGAGCCCTCGGCCCGCACCCACAGGCTCAGAAGTCTTTTGCATCGCGAGAGTCGGTCTTGCTTTACGGCGAGAACTTGGCTAACTACAATCTTTTTTGTTATTTAGACACATGCATAACAAATAATGTATGAAAACATGCTAAATTTTCAAACTCGAAAATTGGAACAAAATAGTCACTTACCGCAGTAGACATGGTGATTCGTTGCGTTCGCCTGTCTGCTAAGCTCAAAACAACTGCGCCTGGCTTGACGGAGAAACCAGGAGAACAGCTGTGCATATTTACGACAGTGCACTTTTACTTTCGCCCTCTGGGGGGAGCCTCGCTGGAAAATCAACACCGGTTGCATAGTGTACCTTTAAGCCGTGGTCAGTTCATCAGTTCATCACCTTTTCTTAGATTTTTACCCGTAACTAAAACTAGCTTACTGTGTAACACCGCTAGTTTCAAGCATTTAGCGTGATATTTTCATTGTTTGTTGTGAAACGCGATTGTTTTGAAGTGTTTTTGTTTTTGAATTTCTTTGCCCTTTAAATTCAGATCCCCTCCCAGAGGAGATGATGTTAGTTTTAAAACTCCACATCCTTTTCTTTTCAGAAATCAAACCTGAGATCTGATGTGTGATTACTGCTAAAACCAAGAAACAATGAGGGATTTTACCCGATTAACGCTGATTAAAATTTATGTGTCGCCTACCTGAACTGTTTGATGTTTGTAACATGAAGGACCCATCTTAAATATTAGGTTCTTTAAAAAAAGAAATGCACTCATTTTGGGTCAAAGTTTTCTTTCACTGTGTATTTGGAGTTTAAAATAATGCAACATTTTTTGCTACTAATATGCTTTCCTTCCATTTTTTCACTGATGAGCGCATCTCAAACACTTTAATTTTCACACGTGAATTTTAATCGATCAAATAGCTTTAAAGGGGAATGATTGATATGTAATATAAACTGCTGCAAAAGCAAAACGCTGTTAAATGACGTTGATTTTTCAGTGTAAATAGGTGCAAAATGATGTATTTGTGGATTAGTTGTAGGCAGGAGGTGTGAACTAGCTAATTTGGGTTAAATTAGGTGTAACCACTATAAAACCAACTCTCACGATGTCTTGCAGGAGCTGTTTGGCTCAGAGGGAGTAGAGATGGTCGTACATTTCCTGAAGAAAGGTGCAGGGAAGTTCTACAGCACTCTGGGACACAACAAGCTGGTGATCTCCACGGTGGAGTGCGTGTGGTCAGTCCAGCCAAACTACAGCACAGCTGGAAAGCAAATACAGTCCCTCGTAGAAGACATGTCAGGAGTTATTTATGGCTGCAGTGATTTTTAAACATAAGGAATTGTTTCTTGTACCTCTGATCCACTCATATAGTCTGAAATACAGATTATTAGATAATAACACCCTGTCCACAGACTGCTGGGATCAAACATCGGGCTTCTGGTATCGTTGTGGTAGTAAGTCGGACCGGTCTTCTTGGCAGAAAGGGTAGATTTGATCTGGACACTCCTCTGTGTCAAAGTTCCAAGCATCTAGTTCTTTCTTTGAGCAAAAGACTATGGAGGTCATCCTTCATCATTATTCCACCTGCTATGTGCTTAGCTCCAGTAACGCTCCCACTGAATGATGCTACCTCCACCATGCTCATCAGTTGGCGGCCTGTCTTTAGGTTCATTACATTCAAACTTGACCCCAATTATTCCCACTGGCTGAAAATCACGTTTTAAGCTGGAAACAATGGGCTTTTAGTGGCAGTGGGAACAGCTCACTGACTTGTGTCTACCCGGGTCAAATGCCTCAATTAGCAACCTGCGCTACAAATCGCCTTGGCTTTGATCGGCATGCTGTGGGAACACCAGAGCCGGGTCGACCCGCTAAATTACGCGATACCATTGAACGCAACATAGAGACATCAACACACCGCGCCAGTCGCTTCTGATCTAACAAGCAGAAACATCTCTGTCGACATCAGTTTACAAACAGCTGACGCGGCTCGCGTCACCCAGAGTGTCCCCGGTGCTGCAGCTCAGAGGAGTTGTGGGAAGCCGATCCAGGCCAGTGATACAGGGCAGAACAGGAAAAGACGGATCAGGCGGGATTCAGGTAAGGCAGGAACAAACAGGTGACAGGATCCAGGCTTCCAGGCAATAACAGGCTCCCAGACAGGTTCAGAGTCTGACAGAGTTCAGAAGCGTGGCCAGACGATCACGCACAGGAGCAGACAGGATCAGGTGCAGACAGGCAGGCTCAGTGGAAGAGTGTAGCCGAGACAGGACGTGGAACCACATTATACATTATAACCTAAAATAACTTCAATGATATCATTGTACTAGATCATCAAATCGATTCAGTTTAGTCTGTTAAATAAGCCGCCTGTAGTGTCTTTAAAGTACCAGCAGGTGTCAGTATACAGTTTGGCAATGAGCCCAAAGCTTCTAGATGCCTCGTTAACCATCACTACTGGAAACGAAAACTAGGATACACCAGGAAGAAATATACATGAGGATTGAAGTAATGAGGAGAATCCAGCTACGAGGAAGTGGACAGCAGGTGTATATATGGGAGACGGAACAAAGAACGGGATAATCTGCTGATAGGGAGCAGGTGTGGAGAGAAGCAACTAGAAGGGAGCTAAGGGGAAATGAGACTGGCACAAGGGGGCAACAGAGAGTAACTCAATAAAAACAACAATGTTTAAATATAACACAGAAACAACTAGAATGATCCAAAATGGAAAAGAAACCAGGAAAACAAAGAATGACACAAATCAAATTGTAACGGAAAAATCACAAAGAAAATCATGACAGTTTTCGTCCATTGCTGTTGGAAGCAAATAATACATTTTGTAAATGAAAAAAACAAACAAAAAAACTGGAATTTCAGAAAATGAACATTGGAAAACTTATTTTAATGAAAAAAAGGTTTTGAAAGTGACTTTTCTGTTTTTGAGATTCAGTTTTTTCCCCCAAATTATTTCATTTGTTCAATTTATTTTAAAATTTTTTTTTTAGATTTTCTTTTTAGATTTTTTTTTGTGTTTTTTTTTTTTTTTTCTAAATTCATTTTTCCAAATTTCTGTTTTGAAGATTGAGTTCGATGAATTCTTAAACTGCTTTTTAAAAATTCATAAAACCACCTCTGGAGGTGTCTTTCATTGGTCAGTGTGGGCGTCGTGTTTGTGATGGGCTTGAAGTGTAAAATCTGTAAACAAAGACATTTAAAATGTAAAGTTTAGTAATTATAATGAGTAAAATATTCTAAACCTTTCAGCATCACCTCTAAAGTTGCTGCCTCAGTGTGGAAGATTGACCTATTTCCTCAATCTGCTCTGAACGTCAGACCATCTGAACCTCCTTACCGATTCCGTGTCTCCCATCAGGTCCTGCATCGTCGGCTCCTGCACCACAGAATATCAGTTTTTAGAAAGAGGAGGAGCATTTCTGATGCTGGATTTACTCCAAGCCAGTCCCAGATGCATACACAGCCTCATCCTCTCTACCCTGCTGGATCTTTGTAACAATCCGAACGCTCGGTCTCAGGTGCTGAGCTGGAGGGACGATGGCGGTCAAACGGCTCCCAGAGTCCTGCTGCAGCTCTGGAGGGCAGAAGAAAAGGAGCTGGGGGTCCTCAGAACCAAACATGGAGGAATTAAAGGTCAATAAAAAGAAATCATCTGAGATAAAACTAAAATATATATATATTTTATGCTAATTTCCTAATTTCTCCTGTTATCTTATTCTGTTCTCCAGGATTTCCTCTTTGACTGAAATTATAGGCAGCATATTATGATCAGTTAAAATGTGGGCCACCTTTCTGTTTTAGACTGAACATTGTGTTTGTTTCTTTCTCTCAAAGATCCAAAGAAGCCGCTTCAGACCCGTTTCCAGGAGGACGGCAGCAGTTTGTCGTTTCCTGCCAACAAACCGTCCGCAGCAGTGCTGGAAACGTCCGAAAACCTGCGAGCAAAGTTTTACCTCCTCCTCTGCAGTCTGGGTGAGAGAGTGTTTGTCGTGTTGTGTGGATTTGTAGTAGCACCCAAGTGCAGACAGGCAGTGTTTGATTTTGACAACCAACTTTGTCCTCTTTGGTCTTCAGGACGAAAACTATAATTTTTAGTCACATTTTAGTCTTTACTATATGTGATAGTTTTATTCTGTCACAGTCTTGGTTCTTTTAGGTTTTCTTTTTGTCACGATTTGGTTTAACGTTTCTTAATTGGACCCAAAAGCAGAAGCTGAGAGGCAGAGGTGAGTTCTTGGAGGGTTTAATGCGAGATCAGGCAACAAAAACAGGTATCCAAAAATCCAACTTAAAAAATGTTAAACAAAAACAGGAATCCAAAAATCCAACATAAAAATCAAACACTAACCAGAACCATGGAGACATCAGGGAAAAACCAACAAGGAGCCAGGGTGAGGAAAGGTAAGACGAGGAACCAGCAAAGAGGGACTGCAGAGGGAGAGTATTTATGGCTGACTGAACAAAGGTAGAGCTAATGAGCTGATAGGGAACAGGTGTGATTAGAGCTGACGAGGAAGCCAAGGGAAAAGAACACAAGGAGGCAGCAGAGGACAGACAGAAAAACCTAAGCAACTTAAATGAATCCAGACACACCAAAAAAGCTAGAAAACAATGAAAAACCTGGCTAAACTTGAAACAGAAAACTTAAAGAAAAACAACAGAACCAAGATCGTTACAGAGCCCCCCACTTAAGGGCGGATTCCAGACGCCCCTTTAATGTCCAAAAACAACCCAGGGTGGGCGGAGGGGGAACCAGGAAGGAGGGCAAGAAGCCAAAAACTGTCCAAAAAACAAAACGCAACCCATCCAGAGTGGGCGAGGACAATCGAAAGTCTCAGAAAGGCCGTCCGCGGGGCTGGAGGCGAGGCCGATTCACAGGAGGCCGGCTGCGGGGCCGAGGACGTGGCAGAAGTCCTGGAGGCCGACCGTTGGACCGGAGGCAAAGCAAAGTCCTTGGTGACCGGCCGCGGGGCCGGGGGCACGGCAGACGACCAGAAGGCCGGCCAAGGGTCAGGCGATGCAGGAGGGTTATAGGAGGATGACATCTCCGTCTCCGCTGAATCCCCGGAGGAGGACGACGTCTCCGCCGCTGCAGGAGTTTAGGAGGAGGACGCACCCCAATTTCATCAGGTAGCCCAGAGGGGAACGCCGTCCCCTCTTCAGCGGCCCAGCAACAGTCTCAGAGGGGGCCACGGACCGAGGCTCTGGAACAGGGTCCGAGGAGGCCGTCAGCTGCGGCTCAGGAACCGGCTCAGAGGTTCTGGAGCAGACCCAGAGGTGGCCGCCGACTGCGGTTCTGGAGCGGACACAGAGGTGGCCGCCGACTGCGGTTCTGGAACAGACCCAGAGGTGGCCGCCGACTGCGGTTCTGGAGCGGACCCAGAGGTGGCCGCCGACTGCGGTTCTGGAGCAGACACAGAGGAGACCACCGACTGTGGCTCCGCATCAGGAACAGACTCAGGCGGGGCCGCCCAGTGCAGCCCAGGTACAGCCTCCGAAGGGGCCGCCCACTGCGGCAAAGGAGCAGACCCAGAGGTCTCGGATCAGGTTCTGAGGGGGCCGCCAACTGCGGTTCCGGATCAGGTTCTGAGGGGGCAGCCGACCGCGGCTCAGGGACAGGAACTGATGAGACCGCCAACCGCGATTCCGGATCAGCAACAGGGGAGCCCGCTGACTGCGGCTCCGGGGATCAGCAACAGGGGAGCCCGCCGACTGCGGCTCCGGATCAGCAACAGGGGAGCCCGCCGACTGCGGCTCTGGATCAGCAACAGGAGAGCCCGCCGACTGTGGCTCCGGTACAGCCTCCGAGGGGGCCGCCGACTGCAGCTCCGGTACAGCCTCTGAGGGGGCTGCCGACTGCGGCTCCGGTACAGCCTCCGAGGGGGCTGCCGACTGCAGCTCCGGTACAGCCTCCGAGGGGGCTGCCGACTGCAGCTCCGGTACAGCCTCCGAGGGGGCTGCCGACTGCGGCTCCGGTACAGCCTCCGAGGGGGCCGCCGACTGCGGCTCCGGTACAGCCTCAGAGGGGGCCGCCGACTGCGGCTCCGGTACAGCCTCCGAGGGGGCCGCCGACTGCAGCTCCGGTACAGCCTCCGAGGGGGCAGCCGACTGCAGCTCCGGTACAGCCTCCGAGGGGGCTGCCGACTGCGGCTCCGGTACAGCCTCCGAGGGGGCCGCCGACTGCGGCTCCGGTACAGCCTCCGAGGGGGCCGCCGACTGCGGCTCCGGTACAGCCTCCGAGGGGGCCGCCGACTGCGGCTCCGGTACAGCCTCCGAGGGGGCCGCCGACTGCGGCTCCGGTACAGCCTCCGAGGGGGCCACCGACTGCGGCTCAGGTACAGCCTCAGAGAGGGCTTGGAGCGCCCGCAGATGGCTCTTGGAGGCTTGGAGCGCCCGCTGAGGGGCTCTTGGAGGCGTACTCCCACAAACCCCGAACTCTGAAGCCTCTTTGAAAGTGTGCTCAGGGGTCTCTGGACGGCAAAGACCAGGCTCAGGGGTCTCTGGAGCTAGGCTAACTAGCCTGCTAACGGCCTCTGGTGCTAGGCTAACTGGTTCTGGAGCTAGGGAAACTGGACTGCTAAGAGCTGATGGAGGTGGCAGAAAAGGGAAAAGATCTTCCCTCTCCCCATAAAAGAAGCCCCAGAGATCTGACTCTGGTATATGGGGAGCTCTGACTGTGGGGGGTGTAGTTATGGAAGGTGGTCTAAACCTACCAGCCCGAGAAGCTAGCTGTTTGTCATGGAGGTGGCGACTAAAACCATAGGGGAAACCAACCAGGTTAAGAGAGGGGCTGAAAAAGGAGTCAGGCTGACCCGCCGGAGAGGGAGAGGAGGCGTCAGGCTGAACCGCCGGAGAGGTGGTTGTCTTCCTCCTCCGGCGGCGTTGCTTACGCCTGGAGGAAGCAGATGGCAGGGGAGGACCAACAGCTGGTAATGGTGGGGGAACAGGATCGGAGGTAAGAGACAGCAGAATGGGAAGGTGATGGAATGATGGTTTGGGTGGTGGAGGTCTATTGCAGAGTTGGGCGAAGGCGGCTTGGCGGTTCCACTCCAACTCCTCGAATAGCTCAGATAAAACTGGGGGTGATAGAAGTGAGGAGTTAGAGAGGAAGATCGGCTTTAATTGGTCAGCCGCACTCACCCTCTTCCAAGGTGGACTGAGAGTAGATATGGAGTCCAGAGCATTCACTAGAATGAGAGAGATTCTCCTCAGAGCGTCCGTGCCGAGTTCTGCTGGGTCCATGTTTGGCTGGTTCCTTCTGTCACGATTTGGTTTAACGTTTCTTAATTGGACCCAAAAGCAGAAGCTGAGAGGCAGAGGTGAGTTCTTGGAGGGTTTAATGCGAGATCAGGCAACAAAAACAGGTATCCAAAAATCCAACATAAAAATCAAGATCAAAATCAAGATCGTTACACTTTTGAGTATTCAGTTTAACTTTGCTCCATGTTTTCAAGTTTTATTGGTTTAATTCTTATTTTGTTGTGTTTTCTGGTTATATTTCAGTTCTCAGGTTTTTATTTGTTGCCCTCTATCGCCCTCTTGTGTTGGTCTCCTTTTCCCCTAGCTCCTTAGACTGCTCAATCAGAACTGAAAGGTGAGAGGAAGACACTGCGGTTAGTTCAGGTTCAGTGGAAAAATTGATTCTCGAACTTGGAGAGGAGAAAAGGTTTGCAGACTAATGTTTTCAGAAAAGTGGTTGACTCTTTGACTCCGGTCGGTGTGGGGTGTTCCAGTGTTTGTCTCATTCGGTGGAGGTTGAACAGGGTTTACCCAGAATGCGGTTGTTTGTAGGAGAACGGAGAAACTGACTGCCACTCAGATTTCCTGAGGTACTTGAACGGACTGTGGAGATGAATCCCTTGCTCAATGTGAAACTCAAAACGATCCCTTGGAGAAAAGTGGATCCAAACCTCCAGTTTGAATCCCCAGCTCAGTTTGAGGCTCAGTTGATCCTTCCAGGGAGAGAAGGTCCGAAAACGTCCAGTTTGCAGGATGACTTCCTGCCGAGAGGCAAAGGCAAAAATAGCAAGATTAAAACTCAGGTTGACAAAAACTCAGTTTAACTCAGTAAAACTCAGCTTAGTTAGAGTACCCAAAACTGGCAATCACTCTGGCGTCGAGGTAGTGGCAGTCAGCAGCTTAAGAGCGCTCCGTTAATGAGGTAACCCTCTGCAGGTGTGTGAGGAGGTGAATCAGGACCAGGCGCCGCCTGGTGGAGGAAGGAAGACAAACACACAAAAACACAAACCACACAGACTGGAGTCCTAACAAACATGAACAACCGAAATAAAAACTATAATGGTGAATATTGCTTACACTAATGGTTTTATTTGCTAACATTCTTCAATATTTTTGGCCAAAGTTTCTGATTTACAAAGTGGCGGGTCTATGCAGCTCCAGAACCACTGCATTGGTTTGAGGAAACTTTAGAACGGGACGACTTCCATGTTTGTTTGTTTTTCTTTTAAACCTCCAGGTTTCCAGGGGCTTCCTGGCCTGTTAGCAGAAGATTATATGACTCTGGGCATCATCAGGAGATACTTGGATTTCAAGGTAACAGTTTTAGACAAAAAAAAGTTGAACAAATAAAGTTTAGGTTTAGAAAAATAAAAAAAATTTCCACAGATTTCAATAAATGAAATGATTAAACGGATAAAAAAGAATCAAACTGGAAATAGAAAAACAACCCTAAAAAAGCAAAGATGTGAGAGAACATTAAAGTTAAAGCTTCCTGCTTGACTGAAGAAGATTCAAAGATTTCTCCACCTACACAAAAGAATCAGATCCTGAAGAATCATTCAGCAGGGATCCCCTCTGGAGAACCTGCTGGATCTTTTACCCTCCAAGACTTTACTGACCAAAGAGGAAACCTGATGTTATCGTTCATCCGTGCTGCCTGGGACTCAGACTGTTATTGGAAAAAATGGTGCCACCAGAAGAGTCGTTTCTGATGTCATCATCCAGTTTCTGCAGCCAGGCTCAGCGATCGATCATGTGGGGTTAGATCAGAGAAGCTTAAAGGAAAAGTCGCTCATATTCAGAATTCAAACTTCTGAAAGTTCTTTAAATCTGAAATGATTCCATCCTGTTCAATAAATGATCAGTGTTTTTAATTCAGAGTAATTTTCATGTGAATGTGCTTTACTGGAGGCATCCATGTTTGTCAAAGAACACTACTGCCACCTACTGGTTAGTGACGTCACGGTGCGGTATCGGCTGTTGATCAAGTCCCAGTGCTGTATCTGGTGTTTGTCACAACGCGCTATTATCCAAGGTTCAGGAATCAGAAAGGTGGAATAACTCTTTTTTTTCCACTTTTACCCGATGTATTCCAGCATCCAGCTGCCATGCACGTGGGCATTGTCAGTTTCACTATAGCTCTGGTGAATTTCAATGGTGAAGTCCTCTGGAAATCTTCAATAATTGTTGTTGATTGCAGATGTGTCTAGTAGTTCCCATTGATTTAGCTTGGAAAGCGGGGAGAATGGCGCTAGGCTTACCGCACCGTGACGTCACTGCTGGAAGATGGCAGGAGGGAGGGGCTACTATATTTGGGCAAAAATGGCAGCTCCCAGACTTTTTCTACTGATTAACTCTAAATTCATTAAATCACAGTGAACATATTAGTTTTAGGTATAAATAATAATCCATTGATTATTACTTGATGACTTTTCCATTAACTTTCAGAACTTCTAATTTCTTGTTGGTATCTCCTGGATCAGCATCTCATTTAACCATCTTCCAGCCATGCCTGTTATCTGCTTCATATAAAGCTCCCCTTTAGCTTCACTGTCCGATCCTCCATCTGACAGGGACAGACTCTACATGGACGATTTCAACTGGATTTTACTCAGTGAGCCGCCTTTAGGTTATTTAATTGACATTAATTGGCGTTTATGTAGGCCTCATGGATGATGAATCAACAGTTAGGAGTTAAAGGAAAAGAAAACGGAAATGCAGTCATTACTTTATTGCCTTCTTTGTTATTTTTTAACAGGTCTGGCTGTTTATCCAAACTCTGTAAATCTATAAATCGGGAACAAATTCATAGATTTCAAATTTACTTTGCAACACCAAGCCCAACATGCTCCACTTTCTCATTGTCTTTGCAAAGATCAACACAAATCAATGAATTTCACTGTTTTATTTTTTCCCTTTGGAACAAAAACTGGTTAAATTTGAACTCTGCTTCCTTTTTCACTAAAGGTTAGTTTTCAGCTGACGAAGCTTTGAGTTTCTCTGCAGGTCGGGGAGGTTTGGAGCGAGATTAACAGCGAACTGGTCCTGGAAGGCGTGAAGCCCATCAGCTCGGACGAAAGAGCTCTGAGCTCCATCTGTTGGACATCAGAGGACACGGCGAGGAGGATCATGGAGGAACAAACTTGCATCCTGAAGGAGCAGGAGGAGGAGGAGATCAGGGAGGAGATGCTCTTCTACACAGAGGTGCTGAAGATCTGTTAAAATGCTCCTACCAGCCTTCCTTCTGACTCCTGTCCTGTGAAGCAGCTTTTAGTTTCATTTTGTCTTTATTGTTATAAAACAGACTCCATTTTTTTTTTAATGTCAGATGAAGTCTCACCAGAAACAGCAGGAGCTCGAAACGTCCTCAGAACTTCAAAGCTAAAGAATGAGGACTCTGCAGCTGATCGCTCTGCAAAGGTCTAACACCAACACCCTCCTTAAACCTGCTTTCTATTTAACCTTTCCTGGCTGGTTCTAAGAACCTTTCTATGTGGATCCAGTTTAATCACGTCACATAAAACCCAGTGTCCTATAGCATCCTATCGGTCCACGGAGCTTTGGGAAAGCTTTGAGTGTTTGTCCTCTTTTCCCCAATAGAGGGCTGTATGCTGGCAAAGAGTCTCAGTCATCCAGGTCATAGTCATTCCAAAAAAGTAAAAAAAACAAAACAATCCACTGGACTTTGTTTCCAAGTTTGAAGACGTTCCGCTTCCCATCCAGGAAGCTTTTTCTATTCAGAAGTGTCAGGATTTGGTGTTTGATTGAGGACCCAAATGCAGAGGCAAGTAGGCAGAGGTGAATTTAGGTGGGTTTAATGAGGTTCACAGGAACAGAGGCAGAAATAAAAAATCCAACAAAATAACAAACGAACCAGAACCAAGGAGACATCAGGGGAAAACCAAACTCTAGGAACCAGGGAGAGACGAGGTACGCAGACAGACGTTAGACGAGGATCCAGCAACAGGAACTGAAGAGGGAGGCTTTTAAAGGGGACAGAGACAAAGAGAGGGCTAACGAGGGGATTGAAAGCAAGTGAGGGCAGAGCAGAAAACAGAGCAAGGGAAAGAGGACACAAGAGGGCAGCAGAGGACAACAAATGGAAAACCAAGACTGTGACAAGAAGGTCAATTAAAGCTGTCTGGCTAACCCAGTAATCCTGCTTCATGGTACAGTCCTCTGCTAAGAAACCACTGATCTGATCTCTTCTATGAAAGATGAACGAGACATTTGTCCTTTAATTAATTTAACTCTTAAATCAGTTTATTGGAACAAGCAATTTATTACAAATTAGAGTAAAAATATTTAGATCAGGTGTCGACAACCCAAAGTGCTCAAAGAGCCATATTGGACCAAAAAACAAATCAGTCTGGAGCCGCAAAAATATAAAAGTCTTCTATCAGCCTCCCACTATAAATAAGGACTACCTGGGCTACCTTAAATATATAATAAGCATTCATTATAAAATGTTTATCCTGGAGCAAATGTCACATAGTAGCATGAGGTGAAGGAGGAGCAGTGAACGCTCTCACCGCGCGCCGCTTCACCGCCATTCACTGTGCAGTTCAGGTTTTGTTGCATTGATGAAATTATAGAAACAAAAAAAAAGGAATCTTTCTATGGGGGACGTGTTTCTGTTGGGAGGAGCTGATTGAGTCGCGAGGAGCCAAGCAGGAACTGACATCAGAGCAGTGCTCTCTAATCCCACATCCTCCATCAACAGCGCTCCTTTTTATTTTTTTATTTTAGGATTTGGGGAAAAAATGGAAGAAAGTTTCCATCCCTGCATCAGAGCGCTAACTGTTTGATCTGTGGACGGTTTTCTATGTTTGCAACCAAACTAGCAGCAGTAGTGGAGTTTGGAGATGCAATCCACTTCTTAATTATTTATCCAGAAGATCTGCAATCACATTCTTTCTCTCAACTTGGTTGCAAGTTTAGCAGTCTTCCCTGGAAATACCGTTCCAAATGACTCTTTTTATTATCTGACAACCTCTCATTCCGAAGCAAAAATGCAGGCAATCCTTCCTCATTGGTAATGAAAGCAAATGATTTGCTCCTTTCTTCTTTGAATCCCACACGGTGCTTGGTTTGCAACAGCCAACTGCCTGGCGCCGCGCTGAAACGTGGGTAGCTATGGCTATGATGACGCAAAGTTTCGTTGCAAGAATGTTTACATTTATTGTTTAAATGTATTATAGAAATTTTTACAGCACTGGAAAACATAAAGAATGTTTGTTTGACCTCCTGCAGCCATGGGCGGTTCTAGACAGGAGCCAACTGGTGGCGGTGCCCCCGTAGATCATGCCCTGGCCCCTGTTATGAAGACACAATACTAAAAGAAATTCTTATGATGACATATGCTGCAACAGACATTGTTACTGCTATTTGGATCTATTTCATTTTTTTTTTTTGTATTCTTTTTTACTAATTGTTTAAAAACAATAAGGCGATAGCTTCAGTGGTATTGAGATAGGATCCCAGTTTTTATCTACTAAATGGTTTTTTTCAATAAAAACAAATATACTAATTTTTACAGCTAAATTTATCAGTTTTTCTTGAGTACCAATTTATGATTTTATAGAACTCAACTCAACTCAAACTTTATTTATAAAGCACATCTAAAACAACCAGGGTTGACCAAAGTGCTGTACAGGAATCACAGTTAAGGAACATAAGATAAAAGCTAAAGGCTAAAATACATAAACACATAAAAATAGAATAGGATAAATGTTTCAATTAAAATACATTTTAGAATAAAATAAATTAGACATGATTAAAAGCCAGGGAAAAGAAATGTGATTTTAAAGAGGATTTAAAAACCTTAAAGGAGCCTGCTGATCTAACATGCCAAGGCAAGTTATTCCAGAGCCTCGGTGCCATTAAGGCTCGATCACCTTTGGTTTTAAGACTGGTTTTAGGCATCGCCAGTAGCAGCTGATTAGAGGATCTCAGTGTTCTGGCCGGGGCATGAATTTGGAGAAGCTCAGTCAAATACTGGGGGGCTAGACCATTAAGAGCTTTAAAAACAAACAATATGATGGACAGGACGGGGGGGTGGTGGTGGTGTCGGCTCCGTGCCCGGCTGGCTGGTGGGTCCTGCTGCCGGTCCCGTGCCCCCGGGCTATGGTGGTGAAACTGGTGGGGCCCCCTTCTCTGGGGGGGCTCTCGGGGAACGGGGGTGCCTATTGGAGTCAGCGGGGGAGCTGGCTCCCTGGGAGTGCAGCAAGCACCCCAGTCCTTTGCTCCCCATCCCCGAAATCCTCCCTCTGCCTGCTCCATCACTCTGCCACACATGTAGGTTTTTGGGGAGGGGGTCGTTACTGGAGGGCCACACCTTCTGATGACGTCCCCCACACCAATTTTATTTTGCATTTTAGACACTTCCATCTACATCATTTTCACAACACACATCTATGTAGGGCATTTTCGGGGGGTGGGGGTCAGGGCCACAGGGGGGGGGGCTTATTTTATGGGCCGCCTGGTCCGTGGTTTTGGCTGGGGCTGGCTGCGGGGCCTAGGTGGCCTGCTGGTGGCGGGGCTGTCACCTCTGCTCTCCCCAAAGAAGGTTGGATGGAGGGGCATGAAGTGCCTGGTTGAAGGTTTTTTTTTTTTTTTTTTTTTTTTTTTTTTTTTTTTCTTTCTGTTCGGGGGGGGGGGCGGTTCTGGTTGGGTGGCCGGCGCGGGATGGGTGGGCCCCGGTCCCGGGGGGGGGCTCTTGCTGGGGGTGGTCCGGTCCGTGTGCGGGGTGGGGGGCCGGGCTTGAAGCAGGAAAGAGATGGGTTGGTGTGGCGGTGTCGCCGCTCCCCTCCCCTCACATCCGGATTTTAGGTTCACTTATGGGGTCATCCGATAGTCCCGGGACCGACCACCGGTGTCACCGGGTTTTTGGTCCTGGTATTATTGGATGTGAGTGTTATGTGTGAATGTGTGTCTGCGTTGTTATTTTCTTTATTTATTATTATTATTATTTTATTCAAATTTTTTTTTTTTTTTTTTTTTTTCTCCCATGTTGGGGTCTCAACCGCACCCTCTCCCAAATACATCTCAAGTCTCCGCTAAGTGCGGAGCCCATTCCCCCCCACCTGCTCTCCCTCCGCTGGCTGGCGTCGGGGCTCACCGGTGCACTGGTGGAGCTGGGGGTGGATGCCCGGGGGACTGCTGGCTCATTCCTGGCGGCCTCTCCGCTGGCCCCGGCCGGCCGGGGCTTTGCTGGGGCTCCTGTCTGGGGATCGGGTGCCCTTGGGGCCTCGGATCCCTGGGGCCTGGGACTGGATCCGCTTCGGGGTGGGGCTGGGTGTTGTTCGGGGATTTTCGGGGTCGGTGCCGGTGCCTTCGCTACGATGCCGGTTCCTGGGCGGTGTTTCTTTCCTATGCCGGTTCTGTGGTACCGGTTCGGGGGGGGGGGAGCTGCACGGCATGGTGGGGTGCGGGTCTTGGGTCCTGTTTTGGGCTCCGGTTTTTCCGCTCGCACTTCTCCTCTTGCCTATTTATTTTAATTGTAATTATTAATTAATTAATTAATTTACCTATTTATTTATGTTTTTTTTTCTCTTCCTCGGTGGGGGGGAGCGGTTGCGGGCGGGTCGGTGTCTGGTGTCCGCTGTCGCATTGTGGGGGCATTGTTTTTTTTTTTTTTTTTTTTTTTTTTTTTTCTTCTTCCTTTGGGGGGTTTGGCATGTCTGTTTTCTCGGGGGGCGGGCGGGCCTGCTGGGTGGGGGTCCTGCTGGCGGCGCGCCGCTGGTGTGTGGGGGTCCGGGCGGCTCCGGCGAGGGTAGTGTTGGGGGGCCGGTCTGGGCGGGCTGGCTGCGCTGGCTAGGTATTCGGGTGGGTTTTCCCTCCTGGAGGCATGGCGGGGCTGCTCTGTTCCCGCTGATCGCGGCGGGTGGGGCTGCGGGGCGGGTGGGGGCCTGGAGTGGCTATGGCCGGCGCGTGGTGGGGGGCCGGGGCGGCGGAGCTGCTCTGGCCGCGTGTCAGGGCCTGGTGCGGGCGGCGGGGGGGGGCGGCGGACGTGGCTGGACTGCTTTGGCATCGTCCGGTGGGGGGGCGGCGCGGATCGCTCCGCTCTGGCTTTGTGCTGCCCCTCGGGCTGCTGGGGGGGGTGGTTGCGCCGGCTGCGGTCTGCTCTTCTTGCTGTTTTGCGCCGGGCGGCTTTTCTGCTCTCGGGCGGATTCTGCGCGCGATGTGTTTCGTTGCGCGCTGTTGGCATCGGTCTTGGTGGGGTGGGGCTGCGCTTTTGGCCGGGGGGGCGTTTGGGGGGGGTCCCGCGGCGCTCGCGGCCGGTTCGCGGCGGATGCGCATGGGCCCCGGCCGGGGGCGGGGCCGCCTGAGTGTTTTCCTGGGTGGTGCGGTCGCGGTGGGTGTTGCGGCCGGTCGCCGGGGCTTGGTGCTGGGGGGCGGGGCGTGTTTCGGTGCTCTGTGGGGCTGGGACGTTTCGGTCGGCGCCGTGGGGGGGCTGGTGTTCGGTGCCCGGCCCTACTTCGGGGTGGCCGGCTGCCGGCGGGGCCCGCGGACTCGTCCCCGCGGCTCCCCGGGGCGCCGGCATGGCGGTGGCTGGGGGGCTTCTTTGTGGCTGTCTCTCCTCCTGCCTTGGTGGGGTCTGGTTTCCGGGGCTGGCCCCGCCTTGGTGCCTTCGCTTCTGGGGTCCCCTTGGGCGCCTGGGGCTTTGGGTCTCCCGGCGCTGGACTCAGTGCTCTGGGGGGTGTGCCTCTCCGGCTCTCCACAACCACTATTGAGCATTTTTTCTATGGTTAAAACTTTACATGCACAAGTTCACCCTCACAAACAACTACAGGTGCTAGGCTTCAGGTACTTAGAGATTCACTTCCAAACAGAAACCCCCCATTCATATCTTCAGGTAACACAGAGTACATGTCAGACTTAATAATATTACGTTAGCGATAGTTTCAAGGTGTTTGCTTTATTGTATATCTCGTACCATGTTTTTTGGTTGTGCTGTTCTTTTTTTTTTTTTTTTTTTTTTTTTCCATCTCATTACAGGTGTTGAAGCAGACTGAAAATGTTTTGTCATTGTCTCCTTCCTATCTCCTCTTTCTTTCATCTTTTGTCCTGTTTTTTTCTTTTTCCTTCTTCTTCTTCTGTTTTTCTGCTCTACTTACATTGCAGTGTCCATATGAACTGTAAAACTCCCTGCATAATTATAATAAAGCAATTTATATACATGAAACAAGTGGAGCAGTATGGCAATTGCCATACCGCTACACTTGTGAAAGTAAAATCTGTTGGGCTCCTTTTGGCATCAAGACAATTATTCTTATTGCCACCTTGCCAGACAGGACACTGTAAAAAAAAAAAAAAAAAAAAAAAAAAAAAAAAAACAATAAAATTTTAAAATCTATCCTAAAAAAAAACCGGGAGCCAGTGCAGTGAGGCTAGAACAGGTGATATGTGGTCACGTTTACGTGTGCCAGTAAGGAGACGGGCAGCTGCATTTTGTACCAACTGCAGACGGTGTAAAATAAGCGGTCCAAGCCAGCATATAAAGAGTTAAAGTAATCCAATCTTGTATTGATAAAAGCATGGATTACGGTCTCCAGGTCTTTTTGTGGCTGGTACCCTTTCACTTTTGATACAATTCTTAACTTATAAAAGCTATTTTTTACGACCGAACTAACCTGGCGATCAAATTTCAACCTCTCATCAAATTTTACTCCAAGATTTTTTACTGATGATTGAATGTTAGGTGTAAGAGGGCCCAAGAAGCCAGAGGGAAAACTGCTGGACTACAACCAAACATTTATAGAAAACTGTCATTTGAACTTAAATTAAGTTAAAAAATATGTAAAATTCCTAAATTATGAATGTATTTTGACCTAATATTTCAAATAATAGCTTTATATGAATTTTTAGATATTTATATAGCTAAAATTTTTTGAGTAGCTTTTTTGCTATGCTAAGGGATTTACATTTTTATTTTAATGATAATCCCAAATGAACATTTTCAAGCCAAAAATGTTTTAAGTTATAAGACATATAATTTTAATTAAACCTAATTGAATGGAAATTTGACTTCATGCAGCTTAATTATGACGGAGTATTAGGGCCAGGCTAGGGATTGTTTTTCTTCTATTTCGAAAATAGATTCATAATATGATGAGAAATATAAACCACCTTAATGAGGAATCACTGGGATTTTTAGCCAATTAAGGTCCATGTTGGCGTTAAAGGAAAATTCCGGTTTTTAACACTTTTAGCCCATTTTCTGTAGTGTCCAGGATGAAATCGAATGATCGACACCAAACTTTTGACGATTGGTCCTGTCTCTGCTATTTGGCTCATGCAGAATCCCCCCCTGGCTGCTTCAGAATGGCTTCCATAGTGCATGTCCGATAATGTCCTTAAAACAACCTTAAACATTCTTTTTTTTAAATATGCTACTCACCGGGTCGTCAGCGCTGTTCAATGACGTTCCAAAAAAAGTTTCGTAAAGAAAAAACGTTCCTGTAGTGTTTTATTTAGCATTTTGTAAATCCCATTGAGTTCTGTTGGAATAGTCAATATCCCTCCGCCACCGGAAACGGAAATGGGGCCTGTTTACGCTTAGCTGTAGTCTTTTCGTTTCACTCTGTGTACTCCGACGTCGAGGTGCTAACGTCTCTGTTAAACACTTTAAAAAACTCTGAAAATAGAATACGAAAGGTGGATTCTTGAGGAGGACATATTGGACTTTGAGTTTGACGGTAGAGGATACCGTTTTGAACCGGAATATACTGAGGAGGAGTATATAGAGACATTGTCGCCAACTAGTGGTCTGGAGTGTGCAACGCTTCAGATTCGAACGGGAAGCGGAAGTTTATAAGCGGTTGTGATGTATCGGAAAAATTAGTTCTGGGATTTACAAAATGCTAAATAAAACAAGACAGGAACGGTTTTTCTTCACGAAACTTTTTTTGGAACGTCATTGAACAGCGCTGACGACCCGGTGAGTAGCATATTTAAAAAAAAGAACGTTTAAGGTTGTTTTAAGGACATTATTGGACATGCACTATGGAAGCCATTCTGAAGCAGCCAGGGGGGGATTCTGCATGAGCCAAATAGCAGAGACAGGACCAATTGTCAAAATTTTGGTGTCGATCCTTCGAATGCATCCTGGACACTACAGAAAATGGGCTAAAAGTGTTAAAAACCGGAATTTTCCTTTAAGCAGCTCCTGTTCATCCAGAACCTCCACAGTTCCCTTCAGAGAGAGTCTCAATCAGTCTGGTTTCAGACCACCACTGGGAACCAAATCTGGACCTCAGCAGGTGGAGCTACATGATGCTGCATATCCATCTTTGGTTTGGCATGAGGAGTCCACCTTAAACTCCGTCCTCTGGACCTAAACGTCTTTCTTTTGTCTGCATTAATCAGCCCATTGGCCCAGTTAGAATAGACATTAGAAAGCCGTTTATTACAGAAAAACATCATAATAAAAATGCATTTGCACTCAGTCTGACGATTCGTTTGATTTCTGAGTAGCTCTAACGTCCGGCTTGTGTTTCAGCCTTTCATCGGCCACATCCTGGCAGCAGAGACCTCGGCGGATCAGGGTCCCGCAGGGGTCAATGTGATTCTCAGCAGAACTATAATCTGAACCAGAAGAAGGGAGATGCAAAGCTTCAGCAGACTGATGGTACCAGAAATCCTGGCTCAAGAGGAGACTTTCCTGCGTTTCCTGCGTTCCTGCTTGTAAAAATTGAATTAAAACGGAGAGAAAAACCTTTTGCACAACAAACTGTTTGTATTTTCCATGAGCAGCTGCTTCTGTTCTGACCCTAACACTGTGACTTGAAAATACAGACATGATGTCACCCAGTCTGCACAATCACTACCTTATAGTCCTGCCATGTTTCTGTCCTAAAACATCAGTTTGCATGAGCGATTCATTTCCCCACAGCTTTGAAAGAACTTCCTGGAATAAAGCTGCCAAGCAAACGTTTAACTGGACCTTCTTCAAACTAGCATCCATTATTTATAAGGGAAACAACATCAACACTTGAGCTGTATGAATGCATTTCACACAGGAGATCACATACAAGTCGCATATATTTGGAAATGTGAACGGCAACGCAAAGAAATTAGATTTCAGAAAAAAATTGGAATTGAGCATCAAGGCCTGCAGTGAGAATAATATGAATGGGAATAAGATAATGAGGGAGATACTGAAGACCGGATGTTTTTAAATAATTAGTAAAACATAATTTGTAACAAAAAAAAATTAACCTATCAGTTACCATGTCTGTTCCAGTGCAGATCATAATTAGAATTAATTTAAATTTTAAGTATTATTTCTTCAGTACAGGGGCCATAAAAGGGGCCAGAACATGATCTACAGGGGCACTGGCCCCCGTTGGCCCCTGTCTAGAACCGCCCATGCACGTGAGGGTAACATATATAGTGGAACATGGTCAGCTTAACGAGCGCCTTCTCAGCCCCTTTGCTCGTCAGGAAAGAGGCTCATCTCCCACCATAGCAACGAAAAACAAAGGAAAGAAACGTTAACAAATGAGAACAAATATCTTCCATTGCTCGTATATGTGTGCACACCATAACAGCAGGGCAAGAAAAAACTAATTACAAAATGAAATAAATAAAAATATAACCACCATGTGGCTCCAGCCTCCACATTTTCTGATATTTTCTGTTCCAAATGAAGCCAATTTTAAAATGTTTTATAGTCTTTTGTGTTCATGTTACATAAGTCACTGCAGTGCATTAACACACATGTTCCCTCAAGCGTGCAACAAGCTGCACAGAGCCACTTTTTTCTGCACTCATCATTTCACAGACTGGATGGAGTGATCATCCGCGACGGGACGGAGCTTTTTATGAAACTTCATCACAGCTCGCTGCAGTCCAGGCCAGACAAAAGATCTCAGAGCTGAGCTCCGCTGCTGCTCCTGGACCCCGTCTGGACCAATTCTACCCTGGAAACTGTGAGGAAACTCAGTTTTTTTCTAAAGAATAATTTATCCCTGATGCTGTAGATAAATTATATAAAAACTGGAAGTAAAATGGATGCAAACCACAAGGTTTTTAGATTATTTTTGATGTCTTTTATTCTTATTATTAATTAATTGAGCTGATATGTTGTTTGGTTTATTACAACCTTTATGAAATCATTTATCATGTGTAAATTTTATCCACTCAAAACTAAAAGGTCTTTTATTTAGCAAAAAAATGCTAAGAATTGTTGTAATATGAAATATTTAGTGGATTTAAAATATGGAAATCATCCCAGGTCAGAACCTGTCTGCAGGTGTTGAAACGGGATGTTCTAAAAATTAAAGGCCTGAACGTCATATGAAGCAAATATTTCTTCCTGATGGAGACCTTCAGGTCGCCCAGAATGCAGTGAGGGATCCTTACTGTGGTTTCCTCAACTCCTCAGCGGCTCCAGCAACAGGGAGGATGTTCCGATTGGGAAGACTGACTCCGGGATACTTCCGACTCCTCCAGGTGAGGCTCTGTTACATACTTGGAGAGATTTTAGCTACACTGGAAAAAATCGAAATCTAAATGAGCCATTTTTTCTTAAAATAAGTGCATTTGTTCTTGGATTGAGAAGGTAAAAGAGACACTTTGCCAATGAAACAAGACAATTTACGCCTAAAATAAGAAATCACAATTACATTGTCTTATTTCAAGTGCATTTTATGTGAATATATTATTTTAAGAGTACACTGCAAAAACAATCCAGAAATAAGTAAAAAATGGCTTAAATTAAGTATATTTAGCCTTAATTTGAGCAGGTAAATAAGATGATTTGCCAATGGAATGAGTATTTTCACTCTTAAAATAAGATAGTTAGATAATATTTACTTGAAATAAGACGATAAAATAGTTTTTTCTTATTTTAAAAGGAAATTGTCTTGTTCCATTGGCAAAGTGTCTTACTTATCTCCTCAAATCAAGGAAAAACACACTTATTTTAAGAAAAAATAACTTATTGAGATTTATATTTTTTGCAGTGTAGAAATACTCATTCTATTGGCAAACTATCTCATTTACCTACTCAAATTAAGGGTAAATACACTTGATTTAAGGAATTTTGACTTATTTCTAGATGGTTTTTCCAGCGTAATCTCTACCTCTGTGTTTCAATTCTCTCACACTAACCTCGAGTGTAGAGACTGATTTATTTTAACTAAACCCAGGGGCGGATTTATTGTATTTATATTTAGCCCTACTTCCCACTTCCCAAGTTGTTTTCTCCACTTGTCAGGCCGCCATTGTAAATAAGAACTGGTTCTTATTGACTTAAAAATAAAGGTTTATAAAAAAAAACCTGATCATTGCACTGAACTGGCAACCAGATAACCAACCAAACCAACCAACTAACTAAAAAGATAACCAGCTAAATCAAAACACGGCTTCCCAACCAACAACCAGCTTAAGAAACATTCAAATGTTCTGAGAAATCTAAACTGGTTCCAGCTTAGATCCCAGTGGAACCCCATTCATCCACTGGAAAAAAATTTAAATTTTTTCTTAAAATAAGTGCATTTGTTCTTGAATTGAGAAGGTAAAAGAGACATTTTGCCAATGGAACAAGACAATTTACATTTGAAATGAGAAATAAACAACTATATTGTCTTATTCTAAGTGCATTTTATCTAAATATCTTATTTTAAGAGTAAAAATACTAATTCTATTAGCAAATCATCTCATTTACCTACTCAAAATAAAGGTAAATACATTTAATTTAAGAAATTTTTGCTTATTTCTAGATTGTTTTTTCCAGTGTGGAACCCCATTCATTCTCTGGAAAAAATAAATCAAAATCTAGATGTCATTTGTTTCTTAAAATTAGTGACTTTTTTCTTGAATTTGTAAGGAAAATGAGACACTTTGCCAATAAATTGTAAATAAATAATAAATATGGTAGAGCTGGTCCTCCATACACTTGAAAAACGATCTAGAAATAAGAAAACATTTCTTAAATTAAGTGTATTTACCCTTGATTTGAGTAGGTAAATTAGATAGTTTGCCAATGGAACCAGTATTTTTACTCTTAAAATAAGATAATTAGATAATAGTTACTTTAAATTAGACAATGCAATTGTGCTTTCTTATTTTAAGTGTAAATTATCTTGTTGCATTGGCAAAATGTCTCTTTTATCTCCTCAATTCAAGAACAAATGCACTTATTTTAAGAAAGAATGACTTATATAGATTTGGATTTTTTGCAGTGTAGGTCCTTGGCTGTTCCCCCACAATTCGTTCTAATCTAGATAAGTAATTTTTTTTAAAAATAAGTGCATTTGTTCTTGGATTGAGAAGGTAAAAGAGACATATAGCCAATGGAACGAGACAATTAACATTTTAAATAAGAAAAAACAATTGGATTGTCTCATTTTAAGTGCATTTTATCTAATAATCTTATTTTAAGAGTAAAAATACTCATTCTATTGGCAGATCGTCTTATTAACCTACTCAAATTAAATGCAAGTACACTTAATTTAGGAAATTTTGACTTATTTCTACATCGTTTTTGCAGTGTTGTTCTAGAATCTTTTAGGGAAGACCCGAAGCAGCCCACAGCTGAGGCTGTTTTATCCTACAGGAATTAATTTTTAATAGAAACGTTGGATTGAAGATGACTGGATGGAAAGTCGGTACATTAATATTTCAAACAGAGCTGCGGCTGAGTGATCTAATTCACCTCCTAGTATCTAAAAACAGAAACTTCTTAGTACAGGTAGAAAATAAACATCCATACGTTCATATTTTCCCTCTCCCGTCTGAAAGTTCTGGTTATATTTTAAGTTTCATGGTGAACCGCCGTTAAAGTGCTGTTTTCTCCTGCCTGTCCATCCGTTCTGCAGAGGCAGATGTCCGGTGAGGTTCAGGTGCAGCCGTACCGCAGCATCATGGAGCCTGTTGCCATGACGATGGCCGCCTTCGGGATGGGAGTATCTCTGTACAGCGCCAGGCGGATGGCAGCGAGCGGCAGAAGACGTCGATGAGAAACAGTTTGGGAATGTGGGGAGGGAATGTTTCAGGTGTTTGGAGGAAAATGAAAAGTTTATCAGAAAGAAAATGTGAGTTTTTGATCAGAGGAGAGTTGGAAAGTGTCAATAAGCCTGCAAGTTAAAAACTGAATCCTGGGATTTATTTAATTCATTCATAACCGTAATTAGAATATTTGTAGATTTGACGTAAAAATGTTTTTTTCCTGCAACTTATAGGTTAACCAAACTTATGCATTTCATGTATATTTTGCACAAATTTGTGTCCGGTTTCTTTTTCTTTAGCCGTTTATTTCATCGTGTTGCTGTTATGTTTGGGTTACGTTGGACATCCGGAAGCAGCAACACCTCTGACTTTAAATGTTTCAGAAATCTGAGTCACTTTTCCGTGAAAGTAGTGAACTTTCCTTTGATTTAAGAACAACAGTAAGATGGTTTGCCAATAGAATAAAATGTTTTATATTTAAAATAAGAAAGAATTGCTCAATTATCTTATTTTAAATGCATTATATAGAGGCCCCGGGGAAGAGCCAGGACACGCTGGAGAGACTATGTTTCTCGGCTGGCCTGGGAACGCCTTGGGGTTCCTCCTGAAGAGCTGGAAGAAGTGGCTGCGGAGAGGGAAGTCTGGGCCTCCCTTCTTAAGCTGCTGCCCCCGCGACCCGACCCCGGATAAGCGGAGGATGATGGATGGATGGATATATCTAATCAACATATGTTAAGACTAAAACATACTAATTTAAATGTATTTTAATTTATACTAATTAAACTAAAATATTCATCTTATTTTCCTTCTCAAACTAACACAGACTTTACACTGCAAAAACCATTTAGAATTAAGTAAAATATATTCTTAAATTGAGTGTATTTACCCTTAATTTTAGCAGATAAATAAGATGATTTGCCAATGGAATGAGTATTTCTACTCCTAAAAAAAGATAATTAGATAATATGCACTTGAAATAAAACAAAGCAATAGTCTTTTTCTCATTTTAAATGTAAATTGTCTTGTTCCATTGGCAAATTGTCTCAATTACCTCCTCAATTCAAGAAAAATGCACTTAATTTAAGCAAAAATGACTTATTTAGATTTACATTTTTTGCAGTGTAAAGGAAAAGTCCCGTCATGAAGGAATAATCAATGGATCATTATTTACACTGGAAAAACGATCTAGAAATAAGTAAAAAATGTCTTAATTTAAGTATATTTACTCTTAATTAAATGAGATAGTTTGCCAATGGAATCTGCATTTTAACTCTTAAAATAAGATAATTAGATAATATACACTTAAAATAAAAAAATGCAATTGTGTTTTTTTATTTTAAGTGTAAATGGTATTGTTCCATTGGCAAAATGTCTCTTTTACCTCCTTAATCCAAGAACAAATGCACTTAGTTTAAGAAAAAATGACTTATCTAGATGTCGATCAGTTCCAATGTATACCTAAAACTAATCCGTTCGCGGTGATTTAATGAATTTAGCGTTAATCAGCAAAAAAATAAAGATAATATATTTTGTAGCGATCACTGATTCTGGGAGCGGCCATTTTTGCTCAAATATAGTAACCCCTCCCTCCTGCCATCTTCCAGCAGTGATGTCACGGTGCGGTAAGCCTAGCGCCATTCTCCCCGCTTTACAAGCTAAATCAATGGGAACTACTAGACACATCTGCAATCAACAACAATTATGGAAAAAAACAATATTTTAGATAATAATAAAAAAAAACTTTGAGTCATGTTTGAACTGATGCAGTTTAGGCTGTGTTTTACTCACCCAATTTTCATGTATATATTCAGAAACTAGAAGATGTTAGCTTTCAAATAATGTATCATGCATGTAATTTGTAACCTGACTCCTCCAGATGGATTTGCTCCGCATATCCATCTGGAAATCTTCGGTTAAAGTAAATTTGGGAAGGGGCGAAAATACTGGTTAGCTGATTGGCCTATGTTGGTGATAGACGGGCCAAATAAACCAATCAGATCAACGAAGCATATGACGTACTAACAGAGCGACGACGAAGAGGAGCCAATTGATAGATCAAACTCTTGCCGAAACCAGTCGGGAGAAGAGCAAAAACATCTTTTCCTCTGAGAAAAGCCTCCAGAGCCGTGTTTTGCTCTTCTTTCAGTGAAGAAATACTCTGTAATTCCGATAAAACTTGCTCGATAGCCACGCCAACGCTAGTTTCATCGGCTGAAGCCGCCATGTTCTTTAGACTGAACTGTCGCGCTTCTCGTTGCGTCACACCTCAACCCGCCTCAAAGCCAACGCTGATTGGACGTTCGTTTGGTGAACGGCTCCAAATTTTCTTTAACGGAGAGTCTCCAGACTGATCTGCGAGTGAAACCTTGAAAGCTCGCGAGATCAGGATGGTCTCACGAGGTTTGCATCGTGTAGTGTACAGCGGTTAACGAGGGGCGATCAGTCTCTAACGACCACCTCCCCATCAGGAATCGTGTTTGGTTTTCTCCCGACCGTCATGGGCCAATCGCAAGGATTCTTCTTCTTCTTCCTCTCAGATGAAAACACAGAAGAATGGCGGGGGTGCATTGAGTGAAATTAAGTTATTTCTGTAAAATTGACAGACCGTAGTAGCCACGTTTGCTCAGCCATGTCTTTTTCCAAATACGTTGTTGCGTTTCACTCTAGCGAGCTGATAGACTGAACTGTGGCGCTTCTCTTTGCGTCACACCTCAACCCGCCTCAAAGCCAACGCTGATTGGACGTTCGTTTGGTGAACGGCTCCAAATTTTCTTTAACGGAGAGTCTCCAGACTGATTAGCGAGTGAAATCTTGAAAGCTCGCGAGATCAGGATGGTCTCACGAGGCTAGGAGGATTTCCCATCGAACTTCTGGCCAGAGAAAAAACACGTAATATGTAGCCAACATTTGGAAAACCAGTAGGTGGCAGTAGTGTTCTTTGACAAACATGCACTGCAAAAAATGTAAATCTTAATAAGTCAATTTTTCTTAAAATAAGTGTATTTTTTCTTGAACTGAGGAGGTAAGTGAGACACTTTGCCATTGGAATAAGACAATTTACATTTAAAATGAGAAAAAACAATTGCATTGTCTTATTTCAAGTGAGTTTTATCTAATTAACTTATTTTAAGAATAAAAATACTCATTCCATTGGCAAATCCTCTTACTTACCTACTCCAAATAAGAGTAAATACACTTAATTTAAGAAATCTTTACCTATTTCTAGTGTGGATGCCTCCAGTAAAGCACATTCACATGAAAATTACTTATTGAACAGGATGGAATAATTTAATATTTAAAGTACTTTCAGAAGTTTGTATTCTGAACATGAGCGGACTATAATAATGTTTTACCCCTTTTTCATTATTAATAAAAATATTCTTTCCAAAGAAGCTTCATTTTGCTGAAATCTTTTCCTTTTTCTTTATCTTGTTGAACTGAATCACCTTTATTTTGTGATCTGGACCCTGAATGCAACTGAAACAACATCACAGTAACAAGCAGTCATGGTTGGAAACATTGCTTTCATATCTCTGGGCCTCACAGGAAAACCAAACCGCTTTCCGCTCCATCAGAGCCTCTTTCCTTTCGGAGAGTGCAGCGACCCGGCATCACAGAGGGACGGTCCCACCGGCCGGGTTTAACCCAGCAACCATCATGGTTCACATTCAGATCAGATCTGAGCTAAACTCACCCTGCTCTGCTTTTCTTTGCTGGTTCTTATTAAACTAATTTATTTACGCTTCACCTCAAAACGATGTGTTTCCATGTTGCTGTTTATTGCTAAAATGTTCGATTGAAGTAATAAGTAAATATAAGCTGGTAGAAAAACATTTTAACTACAGCAGCTGCTGAGCTTTCAAAAAAACTTTCATAATAAAGTTATTAAAAAGGTGATTTCAGCCCATTTTTTGTGAATACACTGGAAAAAATCTAAATCTAGACAAGTCATTTTTTCTTAAAATAAGTGCATTTGTTCTTGAATTGAGGAGGTAAGTGAGATACGTTGCCAATGGAATAAGACAATTTACATTTAAAATAAGAAAACACAATTGCATTGTCTTATTTCAAGTGCATTTTATCCAAATATCTAATTTTAAGAGTAAAAATACTAATTCCATTGGCAAATCATCTCATTTACCTGCTCAAATTAAAAGTGAATCCATTAATTTAAGAAATTTTTGCTCATTTTTAGATAGTTTTTCCAGTGTACAGGTCAATCTTTCTTCTAAGGATGCAAATACTTTACTCTCTAATTCTTTTATGTTCTGTTATTACATTGCAACATTTTTTTTTTGCCTCAGTTTTCTATTTGTGCAGCACCAGCCATTGAAAATGGCCCGTCCCAGTAAAACGCCCACTTCCCTGCAGCTCCCAGTATGCTGGAAAAACGGCATAGAAATAAGTACAAATTTCTTAAATTAAGTGTATTTACCTTTGATTTGAGTAGGTAAATTAGATAGTTTGCCAATGGAGTGAGTATTTTTACTCTTAAAATAAGATAATTCAATAACATGCACTTGAAGTAAGACAATGCAAAGTGTTTTCTTATTTTAAGTTTAAATTGTTTTGTTCCATTGATAAAATGTCTGTTTTACTTCCTCAATCCAAGAACAAATGCACTTATTTTAAGAAAAAATTACTTATCTAGATTAGAATGAATTGTAGGGGAACAGCCAAATACCTATGGAGGACCAGCTCTACCATATTTAAAAATAAATACATATATAAATAAATAAGCATATAATTAATTGCCCCCCAAAATACAATAAACTACGGAGCCCCTCTGATGACATGGTCAAAAAAATTTTAATTGTGGCCACGAAGTAGTATTTCGTGCATACGACATACTACTTCGTGGCCACGCTATAAGTTTAACGTGCGCACGAAATACTTAATAATAATATTAATATAATTCCTGGACAACTGGGTAAGCAAATTGAGCGCACCTTAGACCTTAGAGAAGGCGCGCTCGATTTGCTTACCCAGTTGTCCAGGAATTATGTTAATATTATTAATAAGTATTTCGTGCGCACGTTAAACTTATTGCGTGGCCACAAAGTAGTATGTCGTGCGCACGAAATACTACTTCGTGGCCACAATTAAAAATTTTTTTTGACCATGTCATCAGAGGGGCTCCGTACTAAACAAATAAATGTAGGTAGAAATGTAATTATACAGTGATATATAAATGTATATAACTGTTTTAATTAGCTTCTTTATTTATTCGCCTTTGTAATTATAATTTATTTACGTGCATGTTATACTATTTTTGTCTGTTTTGTTCTTCCTTTGTATTTTTTTTTACCATATTTCTTCAATGCTATTTATTTCTGCCTGTGGTTTTTACATTTCTGCCTCATTATGCAAATGAGGAAGGAGGGTCAACTTCTGCCCATTGGTTGGTTAGCATTTTACTGCATCGGTCGAATCTGCAGGCGGATGAATACAAAAGGAAGGATAAAACAGACAAAAATATTATAACATGCTCATAAATAAATACTTAAGAAATAAGTAATT